CAGCAATTCCCAAGTTAGAGGCTTCCCCAGAAAGTACGTCAAAGGATTCCCACCCACACACTGAATATCTAACAGACCCTGACCCATTTTCTCCTTATTAAAGCAGCACTACATATTTTAAAGAATAAAAATAATAAACAGAGACACTAAATGAATGCAAGAATTGCAGTGGGAACTCTACTCTTTCCAGATTTTAGTTCTGACAAAATTGTTATCAAAAAGCAAAGAGACACATTTAAAATACAAACAACAAAAGTGTTTTTCCTGTGTTTTCATTCTGTGACTTATTACTCCACCCATCTTTCACCTAAGTACAAGGAGGACTTCATTTATAAATTCTGAATATAGAAAAATCCCCCAATTTAGCCACACTTATCTCCTCTTGCAGCACTATCTATGGGCATATTTCACAAACATAGAACTGTTAGGGTTGGAAGGGACCTCTGGAGATCATTCAGTCCAGCTCCCTGCCAAGGCAGGGTCACCTGAACAGGTTAACCAAGAATGTGTCCAGGTGGGGTTTGAAAGTCTCCAGAGGGGGAGACTCCACGACCTCCCTGGGCAGCCTCTCCCAGTGCTCTGCCACCCTCAACGGAAAGGAATTCTTCACGGAGGTTGAGGTGGAACTTTCTGTGTTTTAGTTTATGGCCATTGCACCTTGTCCTGTCTCTGGGTACCACTGAAAAGAGTCTGGAATCATCCTCTAGACAACTGCCTTTGAGATACTTGTATGTGTTGATGAGATCCCCTCAGGTCGATATCCTGCATTTGTCCTTGTAAGAGAGATGCTTCAGACTCCTCATCATCTTTGTGGTTTCTACTGGATCCTCTCCAGTAGCTCCTTGTCTTTCTTGAACTGTGGACACAAGAACTAACACAACACTCCAGATGTGGCCTACCTAGGAATGAGTAGAGGGGGAGGATCCCCTCCCTCAGCCTGCTGGTCACACTCTTCCCAATGCAGCCCGGGGTACCACTGGCCCTGCTGGCCACAAGGGCACACTGCCAGCTCACAGTCAGCTTGTCACCCACCAACATCCCACGGCCTTCTCAGCAGAGCTGCTCTCAACTGGCTCAGCCCCCAACCTCTACTGGTACTTGGGGTTATTCCTCCCCAAGTGCACGACCCTACACTTGCCTTGGTTGAACCTCATCAAGGTTTTCTCTGCCCAACTCTCCAGCCTATCGAGGTCCCCCCCAAAAGGGAGCAGAGCCTTCAGGTGTATCAGCCACTCCCCCCAGTTTTGTATCATCAGCAAACTTGCTCAGGGTGCATTCTGTCCCTTCATCCAGGGCCTTGATGAACAAGCTGAGCAAGGCTGGACCCAGGATTGATCCCTGGGGAACACCACTGACTGCAGGCCTCCAGCTGGATTCTACTCCGCTGATCACGGCCCTCTGAGCTCTGCCATTCAGCCACTTCTTGATCCACCTCACTGTCCATTCACCTAACCCACATTTCCTGAGCTGATCTTTGAGGATGTTATGGGAGACAGTGCCAAAAGCCTTGCTGAACTCAAGGTAGATAACATCCAATGCTCTCGTACCATCGTACCATGCCATCATAAAAGGCAGGTCAAGCATGATTTCCCCTTGGTGAATCCATGTTGACTATTCCAGCATCGATTAGTCCAGCTGGACCAATCACTCCTGTAGACCTTCCTTCTTTGTGATGACCTTCAGAATGATGTGTTCCACCACCTTTCCCGGGATGGAGGTGAGGCTGACTGGTTGGTAGTTTCCCAGGTGCTCCTTCTTGCCCTTTTTGAAGATGGGAGTAACATTGGCCTTTCTGCAATCATTGGGCACCTCTGCTGTTCTCCATGATTTTTCAAAGACCATGGAGAGTGGCATAGCAAGAACATCTGCCAGCTCCCTCAGCACCAGTGGGTGCATCCAATCAGGACCCATGGACTTATGGGTGTTAAATCTGCCTAGCCAATATCACAGAATCACAGAAGCAACTCAGTTGGAAAAGTCCTCTGAGATCAGTCAGTCCCAACACTTCCCTATGACCCAACACTACCATGTCAATTAGACCATGGCATTAAGACCAATATTTTCTTAAACACCTCCAGGGACTTTGGCTCCAGCAGCTCCCTGGGGAGCCCATTCCAATGCCCAATCACTCTCTCTGTGAAGAACTTCTTCCTAATGTCCAGCCTAAACTACTGCAAAAACTAGTGCAAGACTCAAGATCCGTCCTGTAGCTGATGTGCTGGAATTTATTAACATCCTCAGTTAACACATGCAATATTCTGTTTTAAGTAGAAAAAAAAAGGTAACAGAAAATTCAATTGAGGTATGACTTTCAATGTGCCCATTGCATTCAGAGTTTGAGACACTGGGAATCAGATTTTGCTGGTTACAGTTACATAACAGCCTCTTCCTCCACCCTGTGCTGTCACCTCTGAAGGAAGGGAAGCACTTCAGCAAGTCAAAAAACCTCTGCCAAAACAGCAGTATTAAACAAAAGAGGTGAAAAAAATAGTCTAGAGCAGAAAAACAATGAAGGAGGTTTATACTTCTGTGCTGTAGTTATTCAGTCAGATACATCTACAGTTGTGCTTCTTACAGAAGGGACAGCCCTACATCACCCTTAGATTGCATCTGCATGCTACCACTGCCTTTTTTAAGCTAGCACAACTGTTTCTGTGGCTCCCTGGTGAACGATGGAACTACTTAATCGGAGAATGGACCTGACCAGATACAGATGTCAACTGGATGAATTCCCTGAGCTTTTGATGCCCACACAGACTTGAACTGAACCGATACGAGGTTTATTTCTAACACAGGGCAGAAAATAGACACTAAAATCCCATAATATTAGATCAACCATCTTTTAATGAATATTGAAAAAAAAAAATCCATTTATAAAAGCTCCAAATCTCAGAGGTCAACCCCTTATACCCAACTGATTTGTAATCAAACACTAACTTTACCTGTTATTTATAAATTATATACTTATACCTCCTCCTTTCCCCTTGCAACTGACTTCCCAGGGATAGCAGATTAATAATTAGCACATATACCATACATGTGCTAATACATGAACATTCTTTTATCTTAATTTTCAACACAAACTATTATGAAAAAAGATATATTTACCTTCTGGAAAAGGATCTACCTGTTCTTTCTAATAAGACAGACAGAAAATGAGGGAAAATACCAGAGCAAATAAGAGCACTGCTGTATCTTACAATACGTATTCAGGTGGTATGCAGTCATCTTTCAGTGATCAAGACTCTTCATCAACAACACTATGCTATTTAAGAATCCACTTCATTCTAAGGATAACTTGAATCTCTACAGGTGGACAACAACATGTCTGGAGTCCACGAACCAGAGTTTTACAAACAAAAATAAGAACTAGGAGACCTCCTTTGTCTAATTAACCACAATAAGTTACATAAACTATAATATTATATTAAATTAAAGTTCACCCTTTCACAAATTTAAGCAAGAAGAAAATTAACAATGTCAATCATTGGCAGAACAGCATCCAACACCTGTAAAATACATCTGAAAAATAAACTTTTTTCGCATCCAGGTTTTCATAGGATGCTTTACAGATAAACACATATTGAGTCAGAGACTGCACATTGTTGTCTTATGTTGTGTGTATGTTTCTAAAAGACTGGGTTTTTTCTATGACACAAAGAACAGAAGATTTTACAACTCCCATGACATTTGGTAGAATGTGTTTGCAGACCTAGATTAAAAGAAAACGGACTTTCCTTGACAATATTCTCCACAGTATTCTTTCAAAAAGAGCATTCTCTGAAGAAATAACAGTTGAGAGGAATTCCACAAATTTGTAAGTTTATACTGCATGTCACTTCAACCCACAAAGAACTGAGAATTAAAAGAAATATATTGAAGTGTTTTTACAGAGTGAGATGACTAGAAACTGAGCCATGCTGTCTTGTCACATGTTTGCATTTCTCCCACTGGACCTCTGTTAAAGACATTGAAGAAAGGAATGTAAAATTCAGCCTTTTATCTTAGAAAAGATGAGGAATACCTTCTGCATTGCTTAATATTACTGCTGACTTAGAACTCCTTTTTATGTGGGAAAATTTCACTGAACAAACAAGTGTTTCTTCAGCCATCTCTTCCAGTATTCTTCTTCTTGGAAATATTTGTTTTTCCTCATGTAAAAGCTATTTTGAAATAAATACTCCAATGTTTTCAATCTGACAGTGGGCGTCCTCTCCTTGTTCCTTGACCTAAATGTCTTAAGTATTAATTATTTCATATGATTTAGTTTTGTATCTACATACTCTTACTTCTTGGTCAAATCTGAAAAATATCACTTTCTGAAAAGCTCATATTCAACTCTACAATGCACACTTTTGCATGAATGCAATGATGCTCTGACTGGGCTCTTTCTTGAACAAAATAAAGGAACAAGAACTTTGCATAACTAAAAAATTGCATTTAGCAATTGTTCATTTAGCAAATTCAGCACTCTATTTAAAAAGAAAAATGAAACATAAGCTATACACAGAAATAGTACCTTATTAAATTGTTCAGTAGTTTCTGAAGCCAGTGGCAAAATACTTAGCAAACCTAATACTGAATTACAATTATTTTGGGGGGGTTAATTAAAATATTCATAAGCCATATTTAAATGACCTCATTATTTAAATTCTATTATTCCATTGATGTTTTGTGAAATATTTACCACAAAGATATGTTTTTGTACCATTCTGCCATCAGAACCATCTCAAGGCAAACGGAACCCACGAATCTTTTTTAAATCCATTTTTAACCGTAAAATTGGCTACTTGATGCATGCTCAGAATTAAGAGTACTGAATATGCATTTAACTCCAAAAATCTGCATGCAAATATCTCCTACTTAACAGGGTACACGCAGCATACAATGCTATTCTACAGTAAGCCATTAAAAACTATAAAAATATATTAAATTCTGTATAAAATACCAAAGTATCAACCTTATCCCAACCATATTTCAGAGAGGAGAAGACAACTTACGGGTAGGATTCTGAGAGCTGCTGAGCTATCCTGTAGGCTGTGGGGTCCCTGTCCAGGGCATACACGGTGATGTCGTTGGCTCTCTCCAGAAGAGCTGTCGTGTGACCTCCGGCTCCAAACGTCATATCGAGGAAACGCTGTGGGGTGAAGAAGACACCACCTTTACCTCAGAGCAGGGATAAACTGACTGTTGATTTAAAGCTCCTTTTGCTAATCTCCCTTATGTACTGGAGGAAACCATACCAATGCCTTTCTGGAAATAAATTTTTGTGTTTTGTGCAGAATTGCAACCACGTCAGAGTAACCTTTTCAGGGGTTGTGAACTCCCTCCTAGCAGTCCTTCCAGAACAAAAGGTCAGTCATTTGGGACAACCAACTGCAGCTTCCTACTGTTCCCATTTCTTTTTATTGTGTGTTCAAAGGAAAGCCACTTATTGGATGGATACAAAGATGTATAGGATATGGGATTATAGGCAGTAATTGCACCATTTATTTTGTAAGAACCTGTCTAAAAGGACGGCTGATGCATTGTGTAGCAATTAAAAAAATGACACTATCATAGTTTTATACCAGAGATCAAAGTGTGGTGGCACATATATTATCCTGACTGGCACTAATCTAAGTAGCCTAGAAAATGGAAGCTTTCAAGACAGTACCATAGATTTTGGGTTCACTGTGCTTTGTATTTAGCTATGCATTTAGGTTATTAATATACACTGATGCTCAGTCCTGATATATCTTCTCTACCATCATAACATGTTAATGTTAATTAGATGCAGAATAGCACAGGAAAACCCACCTTAACAGCAATCCCACTTCAACTGCTGATGTGACATACTCTGTGGGCTGGAGTTATACCTTTTGATAAGCAATAAATATTTCCTTGCTTCTGAGGAATACTTACTGCCTATGAATATATACCAGGCCTGTTTTTTTTCTTTACAGAAACTAAGACTAGAAGATTTTTAGTAATACCAGGCAAACACAGCCACTCTCTCCAGTCTTCTAGACTAAAACTGACAACACTTTCAAGGAACTCTGAATGTAGTCTAAAACATATGTAGGTACAAATTCAGCACCAACTGAGTAACACTGGGCTTTGCTGTGTGCTGGACATTTTGTCCAAAAGGATCCTATGAGAGACAATATTGAAAGCTTTACTGAAATCCAAAAAGATTCCATCAACTGGCTTCCCTTGATCAACTAGGTGGGTTACCTTGTCGTGAAAGGAAATCAGGTTTGAGAAGCAAGACTTTCCTCTCAAGAAGCCTTGCTGGCTGTGACCAATGACTGTGTCATCAGGTGTTTTTCAATACTCCCCAGAATAGCCTTCTCCATAACTTTACCAGGCACTGAAATGAGTCTGTAGTTTCTGGGGTCCTCCTTCTTGCCCTCTTGAAAACTGGGACAACATTCCCCAGCTTCCAGTCAGCTGGGATTCCCCTCCAGACTCCCAAGACCGCTCAAAAATCATCGGGAGAGGTTTTGCTGTGACATGAGCCAGCTTTTTGAGGATTCTTGGATGAATCCCATCAGGCTTCACAGGTTTGTAGGGATCCAGCTGGAGCAGCAGATCCTGCACAATTTCAGGGTCTACTGGGAGTTGATCATTCCCACAGTCATGGTCCTCCAGCTGAGGGCACTGAGTCCCCTTTGGTTCATGATCCATGTTGAAGACAGAGGGAAAGAAAGCCTTAAACACCTCTGCCTTGTCTCTGTCCATGTTTTTGAGGTAACCATCCTCATCCTCAACAGGATGATGATATTTCTCTACTGCCTATTGCCATTAATGTTTTTGAAAAAACTGTTTTTACTGTCCCTCACATTTCTGTCCAGGTTCAACTCCAGTTGAGCTTTGGCTGCATGAATTTTCTCCCTACAGTGGCAAGCAGCATCTCTGTATTCTTCCCATGTCACTTGATCTTGCTTCTACTGGGCATACACCTTCCTTTTTTTGCCTTATCTCCAAGAGAAGATTCCTGTTCAGCCAAGCTGGCCTTCTGCCTCGTCTGCTTGAGTTCCAATACCTGGGAATTGCCTGCTCCTGTGCTCTTTGCAGGTGTTTTTTGATGCTACTGTTTTTATGGCAATGTATCTAAACCAAAGTAGAAATGTGACTTACTTTCTGCACCCTGGAATTCCCATAACTCTTTCCTCTCAGTTGATTGAACTGACCTCTGTTGACTGGGGGGAAACTCAGACTACACACAAGCTAAACTAGAACAACAAATTCGCCATATATTTCAATATTAGTACCTGCAGGCCTTTCTTCCCACTTCTGAAATTATTTTTTATGTGAAACAGTTTTGAAGATCACTTATCAGCCACAATCATATTAAACAGAAATTGATGCCAACTAAACTTATTTACAAAGATTACACACCACAAGGGTAAGCACCTTTTAAGGGAAATTTTCTAACTTATCTCTTGAAAGAATTAAGATTCAACCACAAAATCCCTTTGGAACAGAACAGAAATTCAAAGGCAATGAAGAAAGACACAAATACTTTTTCAGAAACAGTTTTTAGAAAACATAAATAAAGGCTTATTTATGGAAATTCCATAATAATAAAGCTGAATACTTAAGAGAATAATAATATAACACTACTGTTCCTAAAAGTTGGTGCAATTTATGATCTTTTAAGTTCTTTAGGCTGCATTATTTAATTTTTTTGTGTTCTGCCATCATGTTTCCTAAGCTGATGTTCTAGAAACAAATCTTTCCTATAATATTTTACAAAGTTCATGGAGGATATAAAATTTAGTTGGGTGATCACCCAATATTAAATGGCATCATTTGTATGAAAAAAAATAAAGTACTGACACAGAATTTTTTTGTAAGTGGTATGTATAAAACAAAACTATGTTACAGAGAACAGAACACCCACACTGTATAAATGCTCCCACCGATCTATTTAAGCATTCTGATTTATCTTCTGCCATAACAAAAACAAAAGTATACTCACTGAAACCAATTTACAAGCACAAAACTGAAACAGTCAGAAAAGTGTGGTTGTTTCTTTAACACAACTAACCATAAGAATTTAGCTACATTTTGAAAATACTTGCAATATGTTAAAAATTCCAAGCATTTTCTCTGTAAGTTCTCACATGTCACTGTTGAGAAGATTCAGAGAAGGTCTCTTATGGCAGAGGGTCCAATCTGTACTGTACTGTTACTTCTACTAAGCCCATAAAAATCCAATACTGGCTACTGAGTGGGATATTAAACCAATTAGCTAATTTTTTATTATCTCCCTTCAATGAAAATTACTAATATAAAAATGTAATTGTTAACTCTTCTTTTAGCTTAGAAAATTGCAAAAATGAACATGAAGTCTAGAAAATATACAAATCCTCTTAAATTGCTTTTAAAATTTGTAAGATATACCTGATATCTTTGATTTCCACTCAAATTATTTCCATTTAATCCTTACCAGAAGTAATGTACATAAGCAATAAACAGACCTTTCTACTTTTATCTTCTAGTTCTGTAGAGAAATCCATTTAGAAAAATCCCTTTAGAAAAATGTGAAGGAACAACAGAAAATTAAAACCACCTTTTTATTCCTTGCATAGGATTAACCCACTCAGAAATGCACTCAAAAAACTTAGTCACAACAGTCCCAAGTGTCATTTAGGATTGCACTTATTCTGCAGCAACACATAACAATCAAAACCAATCTAAATTACATCATAATTCCTCTTGAAAACAAAAAAAGTTTAATCAGCATGAGTCACGTCTTCACGACTGGGTTTGGTTGTTTTGTTTTAAAAAAAATGCTCTTATTCAATATCACAGCTAGAAATCTAGCATTAAAATTTTCAAAAACCTCAACATTGCCTTTCCTAAAAGAGACCTACAGTGCTGGCAGCAAGAGTCAAGGAAGGCGTAGGAATTGCCCTATAAGTGGCTATATTTTCTTTTATAAAGAAAAAAAATTGGGAAAAATAATTTTATTCCACTTAAACTCACTAGTAACATGAATTTCCAGAAAATAGTCTTTCCCCACTAATAAGTTTAGCAATTTGCCTATTTGTTGCATGACTATATGTTTTCTAAACATCTAACTCCTTTTTGGTCATGCTTAGAAAGTATTGTACCCTTCTCTCACCACACTTTCAAGTGTTTCATCAAGTTTGAATAGTAGAATATGAAAAAAACCTTTTTGGCCAAATCTCCAGACAATTTTACTTATTTAAGCAATATTTATTATTGCCTTGTTTTTTAGATGAGTTTTTGAAGATGTTATAGTTTGTTCAAGAACACTTATATTTTGCTTAATAGTTTCACCTTTGCTCACAGACATCTGCTTCTGCTGTCATTCATTTTAACTGTGATAAACTTTAAGATTGATAAACCCCTTATACATGCTGAATGTTAATAAACCATACAGATGATCTTGTAAATAAACCACAGATAAATACTAGCAATGCAAAGGAGAGAAGAGAAACGGTAGGGGTTATTGTACCATGACATAATGACAAGCTCTCAATACTGTGAGAGCATTGAAAAGCTTTAGTTAAGAACCCATGTAAGCATTTACTGTAACTGAACACATGCTCCTGAATTCCATTGCCCTTCCTGAAAGAACCAACACAACCTTTAAGGAACAGCAGACAACTGTAACGTGATCTTTAACCTGGGAGCACCGAATACAAGAGGATACAGTTCTGATTCAACCCACATCAAATACTGCCTCACCAGAACTAATGGAATTGGTGTCCTGGAAAACCTAATTAAGGCTACATTAAGTGCATTCTGTCATAACTTTTTAAGGTAAAGACCTTCCATGGGTAATCTTTGAACTGCATTGATACATATACCTAAAGGCACAAGCAAGAACTCCTACAGATGCCTCATACTCTAGATTTTCCACTCAAAAGCCACACTTTGCATCTAGAACCTAAAAAAAAATAAATAAATATCACTTCAAGTTATCAAATAAAATAATTCTGTTATTAACACAACCATTTTGGAGCATTGATCAGATTTTAAATTAATCACTGTAATATACTGCTTCATAATATGCTTCTTATACATTCCATTCATCTTTCACGCCTGAAATAAAAGATGCTTCATTTTTTCTTCCTCTTTCTCTCTTGCCTAGTAGTTTTTAATCAAATAAAATTAAAT